ATGCCACCGCTAAATCCTTTATGCATTCCACCGAATCTGCCGCCAATTCCTTGCTGAAGTCCACCAGCACCGCCTAAACTGCCACCAAATCCTTGCTGGATTCCGCCAATACCGCCCATACCGCCGCCAAATCCCTTTTGCATTCCACCAAAACCGCCTCCACGTCCTTGTTGAATTCCTCCAATACCTCCACCGATACCACCACCGATACCGCTACCGATACCACCACCGATACCGCTACCAATACCACCACCGATACCTCCACCGATACCAGATCCTCCGCCGAATTTATGGCTCATTCCACCTCCTATCATACCACCAGAGAGTCCACCCCCAATTCCTCCTCCAATTCCTCCGCTACCGCCTGTAATATAATAAAAGTTCAACATAAGTTGCATAGCAATTATTTAATTCTTAATTAGCTTACAGTTTGCACACTAAGTCTTGCGTATTTGTTATTGACTTGACTGTCTGCATAAACAGTATAGGTGATAAATAAACGTTATTCTCCTTCTTGTTCATAAATAACCACTGAGTCTGAAGAGGCATTACATTAGAAGTAATGTAAAGTTTGACGCCCGGACTAAGTATTAAGAGCATACGATTAAAGCACCCCGATTCCCTTTCAACAACTTATTGCAATCGCATCTTCCCGGCTCTTTCCGTCAAACTTCGGATTATTATAATAGTTACGTTATACCTTCTTAAGATCTACTTTCAACTTTTGCACTTTTAAAGCCAAAGAAAATCCATACCTCCAAGAAAACTCCCCGAGTCGTCAAACCCATTATCTGCATAATTGCTGTCAAACCGTCCATTTACGAAGGAACCTGCAAGAGCGTGCAATGAATTACTTTAAAACATACTTGTTATTAATTTACAAATAACCTTAAAAGAATCATCCATAGTTGCCAGTGTATTTGGACACAATTCTGTAAATACTAGTATGTTTGGAGTAAATTATGCAAAATATTCGTTTGTCAAATTTTATTAATACAGTATTTAGCGGTTAGCATCAACTCAAATAAGATTAGGCAATAAAATCAACTCGAAAATGTGTTAGGCAGTGCTTAAACATTTACAATGTATATTTAAAAGCATGTTCCAATATTTTCTTTTAATATATGGCGAAGGACAAGAGCAATACATACAAGAAAATTTGGCGGAAAGTGACCTTCTGTAAGATGATTTTTGTTATCATTTTGTTAACTCGATGTGTTGTAAAACATTACAATAATACATTTATTTACCTTTAGTTTTCTTTTGTAAACTCAACATTATTAATGTGCATGTATAACTTATTATATTATTATGAAATGAACCGGCGAGCGTATGCTGGTGATGGTCATTCTATGTACATTGTTTCGTTGCGTAATGGTTCATGATGATTTGTGTAATTGATTCGTTAATTTTGAATTTTGAACAGTGCGTTAGATAAAAAAAAAATCAAAATTAAGCTAACGTCAGTATGGAGCCTTGTATGACTTTACCGGCGGTTTAAGGTTTAAGGGTTAAAAATAAGTTAATAAATAAACAAAAATTAAATACAATTCAAAATATAAAATGCACGTACCTTTGACCATTACGAAACAAGCTACTGTTACGACAGAAATTAGCATATAAACACCCATTGTTATTTATTGTATCACTCCGTGAAACCTCTCTAAATCCTGCAAAATATTATACATATATTATTAAGTTTCGCCATTAAAAATAAAACTTCAAAGCAAAATTACTATACGGATGCGTTTTTTTTTAGCTTTTGATAAATAAAGAAAAATGATGCGTTGAATATATGTGTGAATGCTTCCGAGTCAAGTAACTGCGCACTGTCGCTGAGCTTTTTTTAACGCTATTTAGTATCTTAATTTATACGAGAAAGCAAAAGTATGTTATAACTGTATTGTAAATATATTTACTGTAAAATAACAACAACCAAAGAAAAAGATGCTTTACTGACGGTACACAACAAAATACAATTTGAAAAAAGTCTACCAATATCTATATAATTATGGTTACTTAATTCATCTATGCGTTAAATATATTTCAAGGTGAGCTTGTTAAGTCCTCGATAATTTTATAATTTTATGTCGATCTTTTACCATTGTAAATGAAAAGTAACTATTTTTACAATACTCAATAAAAAAGAAACAAAATTGCAGTAATTCTTGTTATCCGAAAAAGAATGAAATAAAAAAGAAAAAAAATATTTAACAAAAAAAAAATATTATTACAAAAATATTTGTCCATACCTTCAATGCACCACTCAGTGGACCTCTGGTAACTACATTCAGAACTTACTAGCTTATATAGTGCCCACTCCAAATAGTAGAGGTAACATTCATACAATAAACAAACCAATAATTATTTAACATTAACATGACAGTATATTACAAACAACAATTATCTTACATGTATATTTATATGTATTATACATGTAACACTGTTTTTAATGATTTAATATACTTGCGTTTTACGAAATGTACATGACGGCCTAGTTGTCAACGGTATCCTAGGTGACGAAACATTTGTGATGCACTCTGGGTAAAAGTTATACAACATAAGTATACCATAATAATTATGTCATTATCGTCATATTGTCTTAATTATGGTAACATTATGATTTTTTATTTTTACCTATATTTGTTGTTTTTGGTTTTTGTTGTAAGGTATACCGCATGGTAATGAATAAACAAAATCCATTACAGGTCATTGCGTGCACTTAAAATTCAATTATATCAGGGTCTTTCAAATAGAATTTTCTTTATATACATGTATATTCATTTGAGTGGCAATTGCATTTTTGCACTTCTACCAGAAATTTAAATAAGCGCGAGCAAAAATACAACCAAAGACACTGTCCTGATAATTGTTTTCAAATAAATCTCATCTCCCTGTAGAAGGGGTAATATCTAGAGGATGAATGAGTATAAGTTCAATACTGAATAAAATAATAGTATGCGAGCCTCTACGTGTAGGTACATTTCAACCCTTCTTCCGGAAGCCTCTGGCGACTTTATTGACGTTGTGCAAAATCTGATTATTATTGCAAAAAGCCCTTTTTTAATATACATCAATAATACATATTAATTAGAATACATTTTTAAAGTGATAAAAAGAGCGGGGCAGTCTTTTTATGTTAGAGGCATTTTTCATATTCTATCTTTAACATTTTTCATAATCAATTATTGGTCGGTCATCATTGAAAACGCAATCTTTTGAAATATATATTATGCAAATATATGTTTAGCTAATTCACAGACAATTAATCTTTGTTTTTTGTGCGAGTTCCCAATTATTCATAATGATTAATGGCTCTTGAAAATGGCTCTTTTAAATCTTTAATATACAAGTACAAACATATTTCAAAAGAAAATTTAAAAAAATATTGTAAATGGACGATCACCATAATTCAATGTTACCTGGGCAAGAAATTATAACATAATTATTTTGACAAAACCCCAAAGACAATTCCAGGATCAATTAAATCAATAATCAATCTGTTGCGTGAATAGATATGAACTTGTTCTTATAATTCAAATAAGTGTTTCTCAATTTATTATTTGCTAGTGCAAATGCTTAATATTAACCGTCATTTTGTGTCATCTTGTTCGATCGGTTGAAAAATAATAATTTTTTGTCATGCACAGAAAGATGCTAAAATAAAAAGTCAAATTCATTATTCAGTAATTGCTCTCTCGTACCCTCGGAAAATGCACGCCGGAAATTCACAAGGCAGTAGGAGTAACGAATGAGACAATACGGACAAATACGAGACGAATCAGATGTTAAGCAGACAACACAAGCATAGACGATACTCTTATCGAAACGGCTGCTAATGTCTTGACTTTATTTGGAGGGGAGTGGAAGTGTACGAGTCCTTGTACGCAGTGACGTCCTTTGCTTGGTACCAACAGCCCTTTTTCAGGGCAACCCACTTCATTATTGCCAAATGTCACTGTATGTTCCTGGCCTCGTTCGCCGTTGAACAGTGACCTACTCGTTCAAGATCTTATTTAACTAATACTCAGTGGAATTTACACAGAGGCAAATTATCACCACTTTATGCTCTTCAAAATATGCCTGGTGACAAGTCCGAGTCCTTTCTCGAAATAAAATCTTCTTGTGCCTTAATGGGCGGGTTATACAGATACTTTCCGTGTAATCTGGCGACTCTTTAGCCAAACTGGTTCTTAAAATAAACATGAGCGCCATTGTCACAAAATATGCCAGTCATCTAGGACTCAGAATAGTGAGCATTTAGTGAATATGAGCATGTGACCTTGACCACAGGAACCTTACTTTTGCCACAACACTTCATTTCTATGCTTAATAATGTGAACATTTGTGAAAAGTTATTTAACATTTCCTCAATGCATGTACAAGTTGGATGGTGTTCTTCTGACCTTTAAATGTGACCTTGACCTTTGACATAGAGACCTGGTTTACCTGTGCAACACTTTGTCATTTGCATCAAATAATATTAGGTAAGATCCTTCCATGTTTGTAGAAGCTATACCATGGACAAAATCTTTACATTTATTTAGTGGTGACCTTCACCTTGTCATTGATCTAGATTATGCTGCATGTCAAGTTATAATCAGTCAGTTTGAAACTACTACATTGTCCATACACACATTTCATCTATCCTTTCACCTCTTAATGTGACATTGACCACAGGGACACGCATTTTGTTTGTACTACTCAAACCCGCAATGATGAACATTTGTGCCAAGTGATATAAAATCCCTCTATGTTATGTATATTTGTATAAGTTTAGCTTGATGTTCAGTTTCGAACTTGACCTTTGACCTCGAGTACAGGTTCAAGCTTGCAACACTGTCTCATTGTGCTTACCATTTATATCAAGAAATACTTCAATCTCATCATGCTTGAGAAGATTTGGACCAGACAAAGCTGAAGCCACCTGCCTGTCTGTCAGTGGCATTTCCATCATGCAAACACTATTTCAAACATTCTAATAAAAAGGACAAAAAGTGAATTTTTCATTTTTTTATTCCTCATTTATATCACATATATTATATTTCATTTCTTGCAAAAAAAAAATCATCAATAAAAATTTTATCTCAAAATCTTTAAATGGTAAGTTTCTAAAATCTGACTAAAATAAATATGGACAATCAAGTGACCTGAAATGACAGTAACATAGGGAGAGAAAAAGGCAAATGCGGATCTATATCTCACAAACTAGGTAAAGATAATATTGTAATAAAATCTATATTATAATCCAGGCCTGTCTAATTCTCCAGGTTATAAAACCATTTTGTGCTAACTAATTAGCTGTAATAAATTAGAAAACTGTAAAAAAGGGAGCAATTTACATATAATTAGGATATGTACGGTAACTTTTATATTGTGTTCAAATTTTATATTTGAAAATAATGATAATTTCAATGCAGTCTCATTTTAAATGTAAAATAAATAACTTTTGAGTACACACAGAGGAGGGTTTTTTTATCTCTACACACTAAGTAAATGAATACATGGCATCATTAAAAGGCAGTCTTTTAAGAAAGGACCAAACTAACTTCATCTGTAATAGGGAATGCAGCTTCCCAAACATAGGTTGTGCATTTTCTTATTCAAACATATTCAGTAAAAATTTCCAAGATTTCAATAACAGTTTCTGCAGTAAAAGTATAGTATATTTTGAAATATTATAATACAAATATTCCAGTTATTTGGTGTTTTCCAACTTTTCTTTTAAAGTTTTGATCCCTATGAAATACTCTTCTCTCTTTTTCAGATCACATGATTCTCCATTTTGGATAAAAAAAAACAACATTAACTAATAGGGCAATAGAAAATAAATGATATGTAAATAACATCTAAAAATGTTCATTTAGCTAAAACTTTATAGAAGGATAACAAATAGTATTCTAAAATATTAAGACATCCTATAGGACTATTTGGATTCTACCAGCAGATAGAGTTACATATCATCACCTTGGTGCAATAACTGGTTAACTCTTATTAAATTTATAAGGACTTAACCCGATACTGCACTAAGGTGACAATATATAACCGGTATAAAATCAGGCCAGCCTGTGTATCTGGCATGGATCGTAACTAAAATTACATAAATTATAACTAAAATATTAATAAATACTATCTAAAATACTTTAAAAACCGACATTATACACAAACATGGCAAAATGCTTTGCATAAAAATTTTATGAACACAGAAATAAAGAAGTGAAGCTAGAAAGCAAAGTTAACAATCTGTGTTAAAACTGTAAAAACATCATGTAACAAAATAAGACTAAATGAATAAAATGAAAACAAAGAAAAAATGAACATTAACAAAGTAAGTATAAAAGAAGGTTAACAAAATCTAGTTGCGCGAATGGTTGACTATTGGCAACAGAAGTATGTTATGACAACCCAATTTTCACTTAACCATTGCATTTTTTATGACTTGATCAAAATGCACTAAAAAACAAAAAAATCAGTTTTATCAAAGAGGTGCTTTCTGATTATGACAAAGGTAAAAAAATGACCTTACTATGAGGAAATATATGGGAAAATCTATTTTTAGCCTTTATGACCATTGTAACCCTCCCTGATTTTGAAGGGTGCCTACTCATCAAATATTTATAGATATGAATCAACGCAGGAAGATACTTTGGGGAATGATTATTATGAATGAATGATGGGAGAATGGAGGGATAAAAAGCTGACAGAGGGAAGGATGGAGGGACAGAAAGACAAACTGACCATTATATGCTTCATCGTACGTTTTTGGTGAGCATAAAAAAATTCAAATCTGAAAGTATCAAAAATGATGATAAACATGATGTATAATAGCACTGTTTATCTCACGTGACCTTCAATAAGTTGTTAGTTTTTACACCTAAAGCTTTGCTTAATATTTTAACCAGCAAGGTGATAAGCCTTTGCCATCAGTATACAGCCAGGGCAGCCTGAACTTCTGTAGAGTCTGACCAGCATCTACACTGTCGACAAACTAACTTCCTTTTCACCTTGATAACCTAAAATGATATCGGATAATTCCAAATAGGAAGTTCGACAAGTCAGTTTAAGGAATTCAGCAGGTTACAGGTTAACTTTTATGACACTAATATTTATTCTGCAAGTACATTTCAGCATTTCCTATGTTATAAAGCGACCCTGCATCTGCTGGATTAATTCCAGAGACTGTGAGATCTTGGGCACGAGAAAGGTCTCCGTGAATGTACACATAATTGGACAAGGGAGGTAAGTCATGAATTATCGTCTCCATTTTTGATGTGTCAGTTTGATCGTTTACTACCGTCGGAATTGAATGTTTGTCATCGAGGTCAGAAATATTGGGCGGATCCATGTAACTTTTATGCCTTTTCGATTTTTTTATTGAAGAGTATGTGTTATCGGCAGTTTCTTTCACTTTGTAATCGGCATACGTAAGATTATTGGCATTGTTCATCGACATATTCCCATCTTGACCTATTTCCTTGTCAATTGTCGGAACTTGTTGTAAGGCTTTCCGTTCCTTTGATGAGGCTACTAGTCGGCCATCTTTGGTAATGACATCACCGGAGTCAAAATTGGAATACTTCATTTTCAAATTGACAGTATGTTTAGTTACAACGATAAGGTCGTGAACTGTACGTATATGTTTGTCAACGTTTCCTTTAACTCCAGTCCTGTACTGACACACTGGGCAGGCATAGGGCTTAAAATCCTGAAGATTAAAAAAAACAAGTTTATACAAATATTAATATAATATATTAATTAGTATAAAACACTGTGTATGCAAAGTTTTCTTAAAAGTTCTATAATTAACAATATTTGTGCCATAAGAACAGCATTTTCGAAGGCTGTCCATAAAGTTCTTATTGATAACGTATGAATAGTGTGTATGTAAGGTACAACTGATGTATAGCCAGCGTGTAAAATACATTTGCATATGTTAACTTATTTCATCGTAGTTAAGCTCATATCAGCATATAGTTAGTGTGTAACAACTTTAAAAGTTTTGCCTATTCAGCTTATGTCTAGCATATATGAGCGTATGTATAACATACGATTTATACTGGTGTGTACACAGAAAAATTTTGAAAATATTCAGAAAATGTTTCTGGTCTATTCTTGTTTGAATGTACATTTAAGTCCAAATCATATGTGTAATTCTGCATTAGAGCAATTTTTCATTTTTTTTTCTGATAGACTAGTATATGTTATTGTCATATGCAATAGTGAGTCAGCCCCTTTATTTGTAACATGTTACAAGCATAATCAAATAAATAGTGATCTTGCTATAAATGTAAGAAAGACAAAACAGTGTCCTCATCAGAGTTTTAAGGAAAAACCACAGCAAGGTTCAGGTCATATTGCGATTTCCAAGTAAAATATTAAAAACTCCAAAATTCCAGACAGAATTCAAACATATAGGCAGTAAGGGACAGGTGGTCCCACTTAGTAAGTAATGTGAATAGAAAAGAACTATCCAATGCCTGGACATCTTTGCAGTCTTATTGGGCTCAATACCATGCCTGATCAATTATAACATTCCCTACCACAATCTATTGAATTATTAATGAACTATTCCAAACTCAAGACTGGTCAGGTCAATGAGTACTGCCATATATATTTTCAGATAAGTAAGTGTAAAATATACGCATCAACTTACCTTGTGAGTATGCATAAGTTTAATATGTTTATCAAGACCTATATTGTCTGTACAGGCATAGGCACATCCCTCAAAATTGCACTTGTATTTCTTCTCTGAAATTATACATTGTTATTATATAATTTGTTAAACATGACTTCTGTTTTATAACTTCTTTTGTAACAAATTTTAGATGACATGGCTGCGTACAGTTCGGTAAATTTTGTCTTGTCAAACATTGTATCGGCAAAAATGTGAACTTGACTGGATAATAAATCCCTGATAGGGATACTATGTGTAAGACGTGATAGCTTACTCTCTATTTAAAATGGCTATCGTTTTTATTAATAATTTTATAAGGTACAGTAAATATTTCCATATGAATAAGAACAACCACCGGATGACAACAAAAATGGTTAATATTATGTCTCCAACGTCTCCAACAAAAAATACTCAACAGAATCTATGAATATTGGCATTGTGCCAAAATTAATCTGTTCTTTCTCAGATACTGCTCACATACTGTCATGGAGTCAGTGATATGAAATCCTAAAATTACACTCAAAACTGCACCCTGTAACTGCATGACATCAGAATTTAAGAAAAATGTTTATTATTATAATAGATGATATTAAAACTGTACTTACCTCCATGAAAGCTAACATGTCTCCTAAGTTCACTCTTTGTACTGCAGCCTTTTGAGCAAATTGAGCAGATGAAATTCTTTATACCTTCAAAATAAATCAAGTAATATATTGAAAATTTGTAAGTATTGTTATCATTTTTTTGTTGCTTATCATTTTTTTGTTGTGTGGTTTTTATGTCATACCAACACAACAAAGGTCATAAGGTGACATTCTAGCTTTATGGGTTGAGGACGACCTCATGTGCCCTTCTGTGCATTATTTCAGGCACAAATAATCACCTGAGAAGAACCACTAACCAACACAGTTTAGGCCATACTATGCGAAACTGGAAAGATGATTTTGCCTAACTATGGATGTTACAAACTTGAAACAACATCAGGGGTGACGGTCAAAACCAGCCCACCGGCTGGAGCTAAGACATGCATATACTTGAATAATTCGAACCCATTTAATCCCTTCTTGCATTCACGCAGGGTTTAACTCTGGCTACAATTCTGACGCCTCAACTGATAAAGGCAACCCCTCAGCCACAAGGCGACAATACTGCTTTGAAACCAATTTACTAAACTAGTTTGACAGCTAGCATAAACCAAAGAATTCAAACATCCCTAAAAGGATTGGAACCCAGGACTGTGAGGGGTTAAATGATCAGATATAAATAAGTAGTTCCTACCATCATGTCGCTCTCTATGTTGTTTTAACTGTTGAGACTTCATGGTACTAAATCCACAAATATCACACACATACCTGAGATAATATTAAAAATAAAAAGAGTCAAAATGTAATTTTGTCTTAAAGTCACATCAAATCTAATTCAGAGCATTATGGCACCTTTAATGGCTACATCTGTTTAGAGAAAAAAACAATGATTAAGCAATCTCTCAGATAGGCTCATGCCAAAACAGTGTCAACTTAAATACCAAAACAGCTTCATCACTTGAAAAATATCATCATATTAGATAATTTGATTTTGTTGGATTTTATAATTCAATGCAACTGACTTTCCAGTTTTTACAAAGAAGAACCTTGATGCATCTTGCATTATTTTTAGTCAAAAGTGTTAACTTTAGGAGAACTAAAAGTCTTCTGCAAACTAGCTGGATGGTTTTGATCTAAAAAAACAACTCATAATGACAGAGCTCTGACTACACTTTTATCTCATGCCTTAAGCAGGAAAGTATCTTATGCTATTAAATTCTCCACTGAAGTTCTCTTACAGTTTGTTTGTTTGTTTTGGGTTTTACGTCACATCGACACAGTATAGGTCATATCGTGACGTTCCAGCTTTACTGGTGGAGGAAGACCTCAGGTGCCCTTTCGTGCATTATTTCAGGCACGAACGGGCACCTGAGTAGAACCACCGACGTTCCGTAAGCTAGCTGGATAGCTTCCTCACATGAAAGAATCCAAAGTCCCTGTCGGGATTTGAACCCACAGCGGTGAGGGGCAAGTGATTTGAAGTCAACGACCTTAACCACTCGGCCACGGACGCCCCAAGTTCTGTTACAGATTGACATTTTTATGACACATGGTTCTTATGTAAGACAAGGTTCGTACAGCCTTAAAAAATTCTTGATTACTATATCTTGGGTGTATAAATTGTTTAAAACACATAAGAAAACTTTCTTTATTTAAATAAAGCCTTATAGTATGATAATATAGAATCTCCACAGATTCATTTATGTGTCTATACCAGCAGTAATATAGTAAACAAAGCATTAACTACAAATATAAATATAACCAATCACAGCCATGATTCATATTAACACTGAATCAGGTATCAGACAGTGCTAGTTGTGTAGATTGAATGTTAGTCATGACCTGGTTCTATACATTGAGGTTGCCATAGTAAGCCTATATACAATGCATATGTATCATTCAAAAACTTAAATGTTTTAAACATACATTTTATAATTGTCCGGTAGAGGTTGTTTATGAACTTTAAACAGATGCCAGGCCAGGTCGGCTTTTTGTAGAAACTTCTCTGAGCACATGTGACACATCTCAGTCCATGATGACTCTCCCATGTGATACCGCTTTACATGTACCTAAAAATAGAAATGATGAAATAGTGTTTTACTATATTTTCACAAACATTTAAATACAATTAACTTACTACCAATAAAACTAGGCATTCCACAAACTAACAATACATGTTCTTTTTAAACTTTTTTTCTCAATGTAAAATAGGAATCAATTCTACACCAATTCACACCAAAACTTGGCAAAAAGGTGGATTTCTTAGCTCTGAAATTAAATGTTTTTAACACAATAAAGACAACAGTTTTCTATCATATTACCAGTATTTTACAATTAAGAATTATCAATAAAATATTACGTCAAAATCATTTTTTAAGATGTTAATACAGCATTCAGCACAAACTTACATTAGTCATTTTACCAATTTACCTTTTTTTATCAATATTAAAAGTTAAAGATGTTACATTTTCTGCAATTGTAAATGAGTCTTTATTTTAAAATCAACTACAAGTATTCCCTGTTTGTATGAAATTAGTTTGTTTCCTTGCAAATCAGCACTTTTTTCCACACATTTTGTATAATACAAACATATAAATGTGTTTTAGACTATTATGATCAATGTACAATGAGGAACTGTGGTATATTCCTTTAGTTAAATTCACATGAACTGGGAATCAGGGATATTCCTTCAGTTACTGTCATATGACCAGGGAATCAGGGACAATCCTTCAGGTACTGCCACATGACCAGGGACATTCCTTAAGTTTATGTCACAGGGCCAGGAATCAGCGACATTCCTTAAGTTACTGTCTCATGACCAGGCAATCAGAGACATTCCTTTAGTTAAAGTAACAGAGCTAGGAAATCTGAGACATTCCTTAAGTTACTGTCACTGGGCCAGGGAATCAGGGACATTCCTTTAGTAAAGAGTATCAGAGCCAGGGAATCAGGAACATTCCTTAAGTTACTGTCACAGGGCCAGGAATCAGGGACATTCCTTTAGCTACTGTCACAGGGCCAGGCAATCATGGACATTCCTTAAGTTACTGTCACAGGGCCAGGAATCAGGGACAAATTACTAAGTTACTGTCACATGACCAGGCAATCAGAGACATTCCTTTAGTTAAAGTAACAGAGCTAGGAAATCTTAGACATTCCATAAGTTACTGTCACAGGGCCAGGGAATCAGGGACATTCCTTAAGTTACTGTCATGGAACCAGGGAATCAGGGACATTCCTTTAGTTACTGTCTTAGGCCCATAGATTAATCAGGGATAATTATTCCTTTAGTTACAGTCATAGGGCGAGGGAATCACTACAATCAGGGACATTCCTGAAGTTACTATCACTATGTCAGGGAATCAGGGACAATCCCTAAGTTACTGTCACAGACCCAGGGAATCAGGGACATTCCTTTAGTTACTGCCACAGGTCCATGCGCTCAGGGACATTCCTTTAAATACTGTCACAGGCCCAGGGAATCAGGGACACACTTTTGGTTACTGTCACAGGTCCAGGGACATAGGGACACAATCTCTCTAGTTACTGCCACAGGACCAGGAAATAAGGATACTCCTTTATCTTCAGTCTGGTTTCATAAAACCCCTATGACTATCACCAACATAATTTTATTCCCCAAGTATAGATCTATTTCCGCAACAGAGAAACATAATATGACTAAAAACAATGCACAGTGCTTACGGGCACTCATCTTCATAATATCTTAAGTTATTAATTATTATAACACTTACTTGCAGTCCACTCTGCTGGTTAAAGCTTTCTCCACAATAGTCACACTTCCATGACTTTGAGCCAGTGTGAATGTTGAGATGGGTCGCCAAAATGTTTGGTAACTTAAAAGCTTTGCCACAAAATTCACAAATATGTGGCCGTGCATTACCATGACGACTTTTCATATGCATGTCGAGATTGTGTGGGTTAGCAGCTACATAGTTACAGCCCTATAATTATAAATGGATTCTTAATGTAATTTGGTGCCCCTAAAGTGGTACACACATCTTCTCCCCCACAAAGTTACTTCTTGTACATGTACAATGTATATGTACATATATACATGTCAAAGAAGCATTCCCAATATCAAATAGATTGCTTTTTCCCCAATGGTAAACTGGCTGCATTTGTTGTGGAATTGCATAAATTATACCATACCAGAAAATTTGAAGTAAACTTTTTAAATATTTTATTGTAATTTGTCTCCTACATAGAAAACTATGCAAAGAAAATGGCAGTTTTCATTTCAATTAGTTAATTATAATTAACATCACTCTATGTTATTCCACATAGACAGTATGCAAGTTTTTTTTAACTTTTCCAACCCTATTGCCTAATCTAAAATGTAGAAATGAGTTAACACATATTTGCACTCTCAGATTTCAAGGCAGCTATTGGCTGCAGGGTTTATATTAACCTTAAAAATCAGAATGGACTGGTCCAAACTTAAACCATAGCAAGTTCATTATGGAATTTATGCAAATAATAAGAAAATAACAATTTAATTTCTCTCAATATTCATTTAGTCATTTACATGATTTATTTTTATACTTTGCATGAAAATGGATAGGAATTATTCTTTGCATTTTAATCTTTAAGTTCAATATCCCTCAATCAATATGATAGAAAACTTTTAAGTATGTTACACAATCCTTTCAAGAAAAAAAACCCTGAAAGTTTTTTTGTTAGCCTAAACAAACAAACTTGCAGTCTTTGATATAAAGATGAAGGAACTCATAACAACGAAATTATCCCTTTTTTACGTTTTATGCTTATAAACATGACCACTGAAATTACTCAAGATACATAATCTAATCTAACTTGACAATTAAAAAAAAAAAAGAAAATTATTTCTCTTTAATTCAAATGAATTTGAAAACCAGTCAATTAATTAAATACATATCTATTGGTCAATTTTATAGACTGTGTCCGGTAGATTAACCAATAAAAACTCAGAAGATGGAGACTGGTCTACAAATTCAAATTTATTTTACCCTGTAAGGATTGGATTATAACTATGTAGCCACTGAACCATGCAGTCTGAACAAGCATGTGACAAAATCACCATAAGACATAATAACATTAGCACAAAATACATAAATGTGAATATTGCTCAAGTAAAGCAAAAAGAACAAGATTGCATTTGAGAAAAATGCTATGCCACCGCATGGTTCAAATTTCATAGCTGTACATCAAAGGACAAGAAAGTAGGTCACATCATCAAAATCTAGGTCACTTGATATCAAAGTTCAATTTTACAACTAAAACTGTGCACATGGTCAAAATGTCGTTGCTGTACATCAAAGGACAAGGAAGTAGGTCACTGCATTGTCCCCTTGGGCAAGGCATAATTTTGACCCAAGGGTTTAATTCATAACAATTTTGATACAGGTCCACCAAACAACATTTCAAGTCAAATATCTAAGCTATAGCTTTCTCCCATTCAGAAAACATTTGTTTTATTTTCTGTTTTTAATATGTGTACATAATGAGAATCACTGCCCCGGGGCAGGGCCAATTTTGACCCAGGGGAAAAATTTAAACTTTGGTAGAGGACCTATAAATGATATTATATATCAAACATCAAAGCTCTATGCCTTGTACCTTCAGACAAAAATATTTTTTATTTTTTCACTATATGTACATAATGAAAATCAATGACCCCCGGGGCGGAACCAATTTTGACCCCAGGGCTATAATTTGAACAATTTGCAAGAGGTTCACTACACAATGTTTCATGCAAAATATCTTAACTCTAGCCTTTGTAAATTTAGAGAAGATGATTTTTTAAGTTTTTACTATATACATATAAGGAAAACCTATGGCCCCCGGGGGGCGGGGCTAATTTTGACACAAGAGGCAAAATTTGAATAATTTTTGTAGAGTACCTTAAGATGATATTATTTAACAAATATTAAAGCTCTAAGCCTTGTACCTTCAGACAATAAGATTTTTTTATTTTTAACTATATGTTTATATTGAAATCAATGACCCCCAGGGCGGGGCAATTTTGACCCCAGGGCTATAATTTGAACAATCTTGCTAGAGGTTTACTACACAATGTTTCATGCAAAATATCTAACCTCTAGCATTTGTCAATTGCTAGAAGAATTTTTTATAAGTTTTTAATATATACATATAAGGAAAACCAATGACCCCCGGGGCGGGTGGATTTTGACCCCAGGGCTATAATTTGAACAATCTGGGTAGAGGTCTACCAGACAATGCCTTATGCAAAATATCTAAGCTCTAGGCCTTTTGGGACTCTTTACAAGAAGGTGTTTTAAGTTTTTACTATATGTACATATAGTGAAAATCAATGACCCCCGGGGTGGGGCCGATTTTGACCCAAGGGCTATAATTTGAACAATCTTGGTAAGGGTCTACCAGACGATGCCTTATGCAAAATATCCAAGCTCTAATCCTTTTGGGTTTTTACAAGAAGGTATTTTAAGATTTTACTATATGTACATAGTGAAAATCAATGACCCCCGGGGCGGGGCCAATTTTGACCCCAGGGCTATAATTTGAACAATCTTGTTAGAGGTCTACCAGACAATGCCTTATGCAAAATATCTAAGCTCTAGGCCTTTTGGGTCTTTACAAGAAGATTTTTTAAATTTATTCTTATAATTCCTTTTGGTTGCCATGGCAACCAGATTTCTGCATGGAATGAAATTCTTTGAACAACTTTGGAAGCCCTTCACCCAAGGAACAATCCTGCCAAGTTTGGTTGAAATTGGACTAGTGGTTTTTCACAAGAAGATTTTTTAAGTTCACTATATAATCTATATAACACACACACAAACACACACACAAACACACACACACACACACAGGTGAATCGCTATATGCCACCGCATCGCAGATGCTGCGGTGGCATAAAAATGATTAAATCATGTTTACACAGAAGTAAATTGTATGTACCTCAATAAATTATATATTTCTTGACAAGAAAACAAAATATTACAATTTTAATAAGTCTTAAAAGCATTGATTACATAATGAACTAAAATTCTGGCATTAAGCAGGCATCTCAATGCATCACACAATCTCATAGAAGACTGAGCTTCCAAAATTATTTGTTTGCAGAAGTTGAACCACTGACCTTCTGCGAGTTAGATATCTTCCATACATGAAAGAAGTCAATGTAAGGGGAGAGCCATTATTCTATTTTAACCAATTGGTCAGCCAAGGAGCTTAGTCCTGTGTACATATTTTTCCATCTTTGATTATGTTCTCTTGTGTGGTTTTATGTGCACCGACATAGAATACATGTAGGTCATATGGCGCTGTGAAAGATAATTTTGGCCAGATGATGCAAACATAAAGCAAAACCAGGGGTCAAAACCACTCCTGGAGCATAGAGATACTTAGAATCCAGTTTTTGGGACACATTTTGTTTCCTCTAACAATGGCACAGGGATTAATGGTGGCAGCATTTTTCATGCCTCAGCCATTGATGGCAACACCCCTGCCACAAGAGGAATATGACTATGCAATGTATATACTTTCATATTTATCAAACAACAAGAGGGCCATGATGGCCCTGAGGTCGCTCACCTGTATATAGGCCCCCCCACCCCCCAACCCCGGGCCAATTTTTACCCAAGGGCTTTTATTTGTTTATTTGAACAGACTTGGTAGACACCCATAAGAAGATGTTTCATGCTAAACATCTAAGTTCTAGCTCACTGGGTTTTTTAAAAGAAGATTTTTAAAGATTTTACTATACACATATAGTTAAAAACAATGACACCCATGGGGCAGGGCCAGTTTTGACCCCCGGGCTTTTATTTGAACAAACTTTGTAGATATTTACTAAAAGATGTTTTATGCTTAATATCTAAACTCTAGCTATTTGGGTTTTTTCAAAGAAGATTTTTAAGTTTTTGCTATACACATATAAGGAAAATCAATGACCCCCCCCCCCAGGCTGGGCCAGTTTTGACCCCAGGGCGTTTATTTGAACATACTTGGTAGACACCCATTAGAACATGTTTCATGCTAAATATCTTAGCTCTAGCTCTTTGAGTTCTTTAAAAGAAGATTTTTTAAGTTTTTACTATATGCATATAGGGAAAATCAATGACCCCCTGGGGCGGGGCCAATTTTGACCCCAGGGCTTTTATTTGAACAAACTTGGTAGACACTCATTAAAAAATGTTTCATGCTAAATATCTTAGCTCTTGCTCTTTGGGTTCTTTAAAAGAAGATTTTTTAAGTTTTTACTATATGCATATAGGGAAAATCTATGACCCCCTGGGGCGGGGTCAATTTTGACCCCATGGCTTTTATTTGAACAAACTTGGTAGACATTCACTAGAAAACGTTTCATGCGAAATATCTAAGCTCTAGCTCTTATGGTTCTTTAAAAGAAGATTTTTTAAGTTTTTACTATATGCATATAGGGAAAATCAATGACCCCCCGGGGCGGGGCCAATTTTGACCCAAGGGCTTTAATTTGAACAAACTTGGTAGACACTCACTAGAAGATGTTTCATGCTTAATATCTTAGCTCTAGCTATTTGGGTTCTTTAAAAGAAGATTTTTTAAGTTTTTACTATATGCATATAGGGAAAATCAATGACCCCCTGGGGCGGGGCCAATTTTGACCCCAGGGCTTTCATTTGAACAAACTTGGTAGAGATTCACTAGAAGATGTTTCATGCCAAATATCTAAGCTCTAGCTCTTACTGTTCTTTAAAAGAAGATTTTTTAAGTTTTTACTATATGCATATGGGGAAAATCAATGACCCCCCGGGGTGGGGCCAATTTTGACCCCAGGGCTTTTATTTGAACAAACTTGGTAGACACTCACTAGAAGATGTTTCATGCCAAATATCTTAGCTCTAGCTCTTTGGGTTCTTTAAAAGAAGATTTTTTAAGTTTTTACTATATGCATATAGGGAAAATCAATGACCCCCTGGGGCGGGGCCGATTTTGACCCCAGGGCTTTTATTTGAACAAACTTGGTAGACACTCACTAGAAGATGTTTCATGCCAAATATCTAAGCTCTAGCTCTTAGGGTTGTTTAAAAGAAGATATTTAAAGATTTTTCTTTCGGTTGCCATGGCAACCAGAGTTCTGCATGGAATTAAATTCTTTGAACAATTTTTAAAGATGACCACCAAAGGAACATTCCTGTGAAGTTTGGATGAAATTGGGTCAGTGGTTTATGAGGAGATGTCATTTAAAGCAAAAGTTTACGGACGGACGGACGACGGTCGGACGAAAAGCGATCACAAAAGGCTATACCTTACTATGTGTATAAATTTCACAATATTAAATCTATCCCTCAAACTGTCTACAAGTACTTGTACTTCTTTAGGAAAATAAAGAGAAATCAAACTTGCCTCAACACTGCAAGGACTGACAGCAAATGTGATGTTCTTGAAATCTATTGGTGTTCCATGCTTGCTGTACTCATGAAAAATTTGCCTCTTCTTGCTAGTCAAAGTTTTTGAACACATAGAACATGGAAAAGGTTTTCTTCTCCTCTTCTTGGATTTCTTTACTGTTGGATCATCTCTTTTCTTTCTAACTTTTTTCTTCAAAACTCTACCTTCGGCATCAATTCTTTTTATATTACCATCATCAGCGGTCAAAGAATTTTGTGACTCATCAACAATATTACTATCATAATCATCAGTATCACTATCATCATCATTACAATCTTCGTCATCATCCTCATCATCTATATCATTAACATTATCTTCATTTTCTTGCAGCACATTTTCAGGTTCAAAGCCAGTTTTTTCTATCTTAACAATAGCTTCAGAAGTTTCTTCAACTTCATTAGAATCCATTTCATCACCATTATTATTAAGATTATTTTCTTCTTCTTTAACAAGATTGAATTCATCTTTCACATTTTTCTCAGCTGCTCTAGTTATCTTAACAGGTACTACCTTTCTGGAAGATGCTTTCCTTTGTTTTGGTTTGTATGCTTTCCTTGTTCTTTTAGGCTTATCAGTGGCTACCTTTTTGGCTTTTGCATTAAGTTTTGGGGAAATCTCTTCATGCATGGTTGCTGCTTTACGTTTTTTCCTTACAGGATTTTCAGTGACAGTACCTTTTGCAGTTTCATTTTCAATAACATCTGTTTCAGTATCGTTTTCCGTGTGTTGTTTCTGATTTCCGAATTCTATGAAGAAGTTACATGCGTCTACAGCAGACTGTAGATGCAGTTCATCACAAATTTCCATAACATTTCCTACTGTATCCCTAGAAACTTTTAACTTACTTGAATATAGGAAATCAATTACAATTCCTAACAATTTCTCATCAAAACGAGTAAAGTCTATGTGGCATTGGTCAGATGCAGATTTTTCAATGCATTGATGAAAGTATGGGCTGGCGGCCTCTAGAACAACCTGGTGGACTAACATTGTGCTGTTTTGGCAGGCAATTGTGACATCACAGAACATTTGATCTTGTCGCAGAAGATTCAACTGCTCAAGTAGATGCATGGAGTAGGAGGGAACGTCAATTATCTCCATTTTCATGACAGTTACCTGCACAAATATTAAAAACAATTAAATCTAAATACAAAGAGCAACATACATGCATTTAGCAAATTTAACATGATTCAAACAAAATGTAAGTCACATGTACAACATCTTCCAGACACTTAGTCAGCTCTTAGCCATAAACATCTGTGCCTATTAACTTTGCTTTCAAAAAAAGGAATCAAAGTAATGAAGTACAGATGGACTGGCAATAGGGCTGCAATGATTACTTAAATTATCAAATGTCAGGGATTTATTAGTATTTATTAGTCTTAAAATTGCTGGATCCTGATTCATACTTATATCAATAAGAATTTATAATACATGTGACTCTTCCAGCTGAATAAACTGTAGATAGAAAATACATTCTGAAATGAAAAGGAATGTAGGAAAATGCTGTAAAGATAAAATGGGAGTTGGTGTTTAGCTGTGTAGGTAACTCTTTTTCTTGAAAATTTGCCTATTTAGACAACACATATAAATGATATTTTGAGAAAAGATCAATTTACAAATTTAGTGAAATGAATGACTCATTGCACACCTCTTAAGTTATGTGATAAACTGTGTTGATCATATTAAAGTGTTGTTTTGTCCTAGTATGAAAAAGTCTATAAATAACTAAGTAATAACATTCAATAATAGAGGGCTTTGATTGTCAGAGGACAAGCTACATCTTTCTTGTGTTTTGCAATTGGGTAATATTACATTATTTGGTTAGCAATATAACACCTTATGGTAATAACGCCTTGATATTTTTGTTCACATTATAAATGCCTTTAATTATAACGCTTTTTGCCTTATGTTTCACATTATGTATCAAGTAATTAATTACGCCTTTTTATTCAGGTTGTAAAACCTTTATTCACATTAGAACACCTTTTGTTTCGCAATATAATCTTATTAATGATTTCTGATTTGTGTAATTCTGCCTTTCCAGGGCACTAGACACCTTTTGGGGACAGGTACCCATACCCTAACCTAGGGCTTAAGGAAGGGGAATTTTGTGTTGTTTAAAGGAAAATTCGAAATTTTATGTTATGATGTATGTAGTGTATTTTTATCACATTTAGTCATTACAATATTTCCTACCATAGTTTGTAATTTTCCTACCATTGAAATCAATTATAGCAAGTATATTTTTTTAATTTAGACTAACAAAGCAAACAAATTACTTTAAATTGATTTATTTTAGAATTTGGAGGGGATTTTTTTTTAGATAGGGGAAAAATATATAATTTTTATGATTTTGAGAGGGGAATGGTAGTTGGTACCCATATACGGTCCCAAAAACTACCCAAGGAGTGCCCTGCTTTCAAATTGCATTATCAAGCTTTTTGATTCTCTTTGCGACACCTTTTGTTTTACACTACTAGTCGGGGACCATCAACCAGACACTTTTTGAACATTTTTCTGTACAGATTACATAACTTTTAACCTAGAGACCAACAAATTTGACACAGTTCAGCTAGGTTCTTCTCCTAACTAACAAACTAGTTTGTTTATTTCTGATTGTATAGACACTTATATCTAAGGCTCCATAAGGAAGGTATCAAAATTACCTAAATTGTCTACACTACAGTACCATGTGTCTGGACAGATATGTACATGACATGTTTTAATTCAGATAAAAGCTTGGGTGTTTTGATTTTTGATTTTTAACATGATATACAATATTTCAACAACAAATGCTGAAGTTTTGGATATTCTTTTGTTTACTCTGCAAATGATTATAGCTGGTATATGAGGTCAGGCATTGCTTTAATGACCCCCAAATCTCAATATCAACATTCTTGAAATAGACATTAAAATATTACCATTTACGGAGGTTGAAATAAAGTTATTTACTTAATTTTAAAAGAAACATGTATTTACTGTTCACAGTTGATAAAAAGGTGATTGACAACCATTAAACAAAGAAATTACTAAATTAAGCATTTTCGGGGCCGTCTGGTTTTGATGGTCCCCAACCAGTATAATGCATTTTGTTTCGCTTTAAATCTGGTTTGTGTTGTGACTTTTGATCACGAATCACGTTACTACGCTGTTTTGTTAGTGTTATAATTTATTTATTTTAAATGCCTTTTGTTTTGCTTTATAATGGTTTCCAATTTGCATAATTATGCTTTTCATTTTGCATTATTACGCGTTTTGTTTCGCTTTAATCAGTAAATCTGCGATTTACTATCATTTAACTAGTTTGTGTCATGTCTTTCGTTGTTTCGATTCGCGTTATAACGCCTTTATTCATGTTTATTAAATGCTTTTTATTTTGCGTTATGATGTGCGTAATTACAACTTTCACTAAGCATTATTAAGCCTTTTGTTTCGCTTTCTAGTTATAATGCCGTTTGTTTCGCTTTAATCAGTTAATGTGTAAACATCTTCTACATAACCCACTCTGGGGCATTGACGTACAGGGTAACATGACTGCATTTTGATTCACCTATTGCTCGGATTATATACGCCATTACTCATGTTTAAATGCCTTTTAAAAACCTGTTTAATTGAACCTTGCACCAGCAACCCCACTGCTTCGCTATGTCACTTCTACGCCCCTGTATAAACTTTTGATATTGTGCAACGACTATGTTTATTCGCAATTGTACTCAGTTGTTTTATATTGCATATAAAATCAAAGTCAAAATAAAGACAGCAAAAAGAATATCATAGATAAATATTTCTTAAATAATCTTTAAATCACCCAAAATACTCCTATTTACCAAATAATACTGCAGAGAAAATATATCTAACCAGCCGCCATCTTTTTTACGATTACAATAGGTGTCACAGTAATAAGCTTCCCGTTCAATTAGTCCTACACTCTCCCGGTGCTTGAAACAAACTTTTTAAAGTTTTATATGGGCTATAGGCCTATACTAAAATAAGATATATACATATATAGACCGGTTATGTAAAATATTTGATTATGTGACTAGCGCCTGTGCTCCGAATTTTTTTTTTCTCTTTTATTTTTCAATCATAATATACAAACATTCAAATCATAGTACATATAATTGATGTACAAATCAATGTTATCAAATTATGACAAGTATATTTGTATCTTAAGATCTTTTTATAAAAGATTTTGACAGAAGAAAATGAGTGCTAAGAAAAACTGATAGTACTATAAAGTGCAAAGTAAGTATGAAAGAGAGAAAAGAAAGTGTATAAAGAAAGGAAAGATAAATGAAGAATGAGAAGGAAAAAAGAGAGAGAGAAAAGATAAAGATTAGTTATGTCCCTATTAAAAAGATAGTTGAAAAAAATTACATTCATAATGATATTTGACAAAGCTAATACTTAGTAAAAAATATATATTTAAAAAATGGAGAAAATATAAGGAATGGACTAAACGCCTTTTACGGAGATAAGAATTGAAGATCGTTTCCTTTTCTATTTGTATATGCATAAATCAAATGATATGTCTAAATTGTGTGGTTTTGGGGTCTGTAAAAGTTAAGTTTTATTGAAATTTGACCATTTTTCTTCAAAATTTTGTAGATTGTCTTGTATTAATGATATTTCTTTTTCAATTCTAATCCTGTAAGAGAGAAATGGCATTGGGTATATTTTTGCTATATTTCATTTTAAATATGAAGTATTTACACAGAATTATGATAACATTTACAGTGTTATGTTTACCTAATATACCGAAACACACCTGTCTTAAGTTTAGAGGTATTTCATAACCTTTAGAGAATAAAAATGTTTGAATTTTGTTCCAGAAAATTGTGTTAACTGACATTCCCATATTAAATGTTCAATAGATTCCATCTCCATTATCTGTGTTCCGAATTTGACATTTTTACAAATAGATTCTAGGCATATAACAACAAATTAACCCATTTCAGCATGTCTATATCTTAATCTACAAATGCTATATGACCTTTGATTAGCAATATATAGAGTTTTTGCCTTGCGAAGGACCATGACGGGAAAACACGTCGTACTGTCGTAGTATTATTTCAGCTCATGTCAAACCATCGTGTCGTTATAATTCTATGTCACGCTTTAATTTTAAAAATAAACACACGTTGTAAGTTTCCGACACGACTCCTGATAACGTCATGTAGTTTCCTTTCAGCCATGACACACGACAAATTAATAAAAGATCACATGATTACGCAACGCAATTTAATAAAATGAAGTTTTATTGCGAAGTTTTATTTATTAAATTACGCCCCGCGCTCTCGCTAATTAGCGTGTTTTTGCTCCGCCGCCCCGCCATTAACTTTTTCGCTTTGGAGTGGTTGGGGGGGGGGGGGGGGTGGGGGGTCGCGAGGCGAAAAAACACTAGTGGAAACAAAATCAGCCACCATATGATGATTTTTCCAGAACCGCATCGTGACATATATATGAGCACGGATGTTTATTAAAACGTTACATGAGATACTTTTAAAAAACGGCGCCTAACCCAAAACAATACAAGAATCAAAGCACTGAAAGCACCTGGAGGGTCGCTTGCGCTGACAAATTTATATGACATTATATTGCTGGTGATCACTTGAAAGGCCAAATCATGTCCTTTTTGCAAATTTTTTGAAAATGTTCATGTCATATTCAAGTGGAAATGATGAGTACAAAGGAAAGAGCAATATTTGCCATTTGATTTAATTCAGGATGATTTATCATTGATATCGAACAATTACAACACGGTTTATCAAAAGTACTAAAAACCAGTATTTTTTTCTCAAGTGGTTTTCAGTTGAGATCGAAAAACCCCAAAACTGCTTTATATCCCTAAAATAATAATTTGAAAGTTGAATAAATTTTAAGAGTACACTACTGACAGAAGCAGAAGCCTGGTAGTAGATAACAAGTCCTCTATTAAACCAATGACTAAGCATTGATAATTTCCATCTACTTATAAGGCCATATGAAAAAACATGCTCATTATATGGGAATTATAGTTATTATCAATCTGATATTCAAGTTATCAAGTTCAACAACTCGAAAAGAAAAATGGTTGAAAAAATCTTTCTGTTTATATGTATATACTAGTAATAAGTGTTCCATCAGGGATAAACTTTCAGTGATTTGTGAAATACATGACTTATCAATGTTCACAATTTCACCCAGAGAGATCATAAAATTTCCTCACAAACAATAAGTCAAGTAAATGGTCAGTTAAAACTAGAAAAA